TTTTCTAGCTCCCATCCCATGTAGGGTGAGCAGAGTGGATTCTAAAGAGGGTTGCTCAATTGCAGTTACAGCTGCCGAATCGCACTCCTGCCTCCAAGTGCTAGACATCCTGGGTGTAACTGCTGCCTTCATGCCAGTTCATGACTAGAAACTTCCAGGCCTGACCATCCTTCTCCCATCATCACCAGCTGGTTGCCAAAGGGCTTGAAAAAATGGGCTAAAGCAATTTTCATGGAAGATGTTTGTGCATGATTTCTTTTATCATGGAGAAGCTACTACACATCAGCTTCCAAGTGGTTCCTCACAGTACAGGACCTTGGATCCAATGGCAAGTAGGCCAAGACAATTGAAAATCTTGTTCCACTGCAGCCTTTGTCCACCTACACAGCCACTGAGATTCTAACATATTCTTCCACATGCTCTGCCATTGAGGACTTGTAGGCCCATGGTTGGGACCTGGACAGGCTTATTATAGTGGTAACCTGTACTCACCATGTTACAGCACTGTCGAAAGGATATACAGTAAAAGCTTTGTTATCCGGCACCCACGGGGTATGGAGGGTGCCGGATAACAAAATATGCCAGATAACTGATCGGCCCAAACGGGCATCTTTGGACCATAGATGTCCTGCTGCATCTGGGATGTTGCTGCCCCTCCTGCCATGTTGCTGCCCTTCTCGCCACATTGCCACCCCTCCTGTGGGCCCTGAGGGATAGGGAGGGGGGACCCGTGCAGCCTGCTATTTCTTGGGCCATGGGGGCTTGGCAGCACAGGCTGCTTTCCCCCAGGCTTTGGAGGCTCTGCAAAACCGGAAGTGCCACAGTGTGGGCACTTCCAGTTTCACTTTTCCCTTACAAGCCCTTACAAGTTGGCATGCTGGTTAACACAGCTTTTGCTGTATGTGGCTTTTCAGGGAGGAAAGCATTACCATCTACTGTCCTCACCACATCCTGGTGATGCTGCCACTGATTGGTCCATGGCTGCTTATTCATCACTTATTTCTTAAGTGGCCCTCCCTGAAGGTCATTCCACTATCAGCCACCTGTGGACATGCTGGGTAGGAGCACAGCTCTGCTGCCTGACTAGACGAGCACCACACAGAAACACTGGCACAAGTGGCAGGGAAACCAGTTTCCCGTGATAACATCGCCGGGGCCATTACCAAGAGGCAATCTCCTGCCTCATTTACAATATTCCAATTATTGCAACAAATGCAACAACAGTTCCACAGACAATAGCATCCTTTGCTATACAACTGTAGTTCATATTTAGACCAGGTCTATCCTGTGTAATGCATGCAGAAGGGGTTATGTAGGGAAAAAAGTGGTACAATCAGATAATTAAAATGGCAGCAGCAGTCTTTGTTCTGGCATTTCTCAACTTTTGAGTGGTTGACATTTTGGGTTAATGTCTGGACACCTACATGAGTCATCAAAAGTGTTGGAACCATTAGATCCACCATCTAAGATCTGTATCTTGAACTTGTGTGGTAACTGGTAGCAGGGGTACATGGTAATTTTCTGTGTGTACCAACTTTAGAGGGATGGGTTGCCAGCAGTTTTCCTGCAGGTTCCACAGTAGACATGACAGTAGAAGATTAATGCTTAACCTACCACCTATAGGCCAGATCCAAACCCTGCAGTGACTAGCTCCAACCACAGCACCTGGGATTAGTAGCAAGTGATTAGGCCTGGTGCAGCTCCTTCCTTGCACCGTGCCACTGATCCCCATCACAGCCCTCCCTGTTTTCTCCCATACTGAAGGCACTGCATATTCTCTCCAACCCTTTATCCATCCATTTCCCCTCAGTAGGCACTGTTTATCAGAGAGGTAAGTTATTTTCCTCTCTCCCTCCCATCTCTGACATAAGCAGCCATCTCTCTCCCCTGATAGAGGAGGGAGTGTAGGCCTATGGTGCAGCCAAATTGCAAGCATCCAGCTTGCTTCTCTAAGAGGTTGATCATTATCACAGTAGAGGAACAAGGACACTGGAACCTTGAGCTCCACTGTAAACTTGGAGGTAGGTGGAAGAAGGAGGGGTGTATTCTAACCATTCTTCTCAGGCTTGTCCCCATGTCTCTCCTGCCTTCATTTCAGTCCTTTTTTTGTGTACCCTGTCTCTCCTCCCAGTCACCTGTATTCTGTAGCTTATGGGAGCAGGGGGAGGGGGAATTTCCCAGAAATATTTGGACTGGGGCTAAATACCCAAATGGAAAATTTAAGCCCAAATAATTAAAAGGTCAGCTATAAGCACCTGAAAACTCATTTTACAATAGAAAATATCAGAGACCCTTAACAGCTGGCATGCTCAACTTTGCCTGCTTTATATATTCTCTTTTCTACCACTATATATAGACAAATGCTTTGCATCTTTCTGCATGCACATAAGGATGTGGTGGCCTATAAATGATTTAGCAGCACACACACACATGCTACATGTGTGGAGTTGAAATCAGTAACCCTATACTAAAAAATTACAGAGTATGCTATTGACCTATTTACCATATTTTTCCACATACAACACACTTCAGCATAGTATAGATTCTCTGGAGTTTTGAAAGGCAAAACAAAGGAAAAAAGATAGTTCCTTGTAGAAAGTAGCTGAGTAGCAGCAGCTAGGGAACCAGGCCTGTTCACTCTTGTGCTCTCCTTGAATTCCTGCAGACTTTAGTTTTGGTTTTAGCCAGTAAGCAGCAAGACCTGCTCTTGCCATACTTCTTGCATATAATGAATATTCCAATTTCCAGCAGCTGATTTTTGAGAAAGGTGAAGTGTGCATGTTGCACGCATGAAAATTCAATACCACATAACTCTGAAAGCCCTGCTCACCGGTTCATACCACCACACAGTTTCAAACAGCTCTCACTTTATCTTTAAAAAAAAATCTACCTTCCAGAGAACGAGTGAGCAAGTGATATAGGAGCAGGGAACTAATTAACAGACTTGTTATGGCCTCTTCCTGTAGCTCCACATTCTTTCCTATCTTCAAGCTCCAGTACATTGATGATGCTGTAGTGCATACTCACTTGAAAGCAGATCTTCAGGTGATTTTCACCATCTTCTGAGATGTACAAGAAAATGGGACTGATGCTTAATTTTCAGAAGACAAAGGTCCTCCATCAACTCACTCATAATGAGCAGTCTCCAGCTCTAGTAATTCAGATTCACAGTGAGACTCTGGAGAATGTTGAGTGTTTCTCTGAAAGAAAGCCATCTTTGGCAGAAGGCTGACATCAGTGAAGAAATCCACCATTGCCTCAAATGTGCAAGTGCAGGCTTCACACACCTGAGGAAATGGGTGTTCAAAGATCACAACATTGGATCTGAAACCAAGTTCATGGTTTATCAAGTAGTTGTGATCCCTACCTTACTTTATGCAGCTGAGATGTAAACAATGTATAGGAGATGCCTCAAGCTGCTAGAAAAGTACCATCAGTGCTGCCTGTGGAAGATCCTTTGAAGCCAGTGGGAAGACAGACACACCAATATCAGCATCCTCTCACAAGTAAACACCATGAGCATTGAGGCAATGATCATATGATGTAAACTTAGTTGGGCCATCCACGTCATCCAGATGTCCAACTCCTGAAGCAAATTTCATTCTCCCAGCAGAGTTGAGGCATACGCTTAAGAGGAGGGCAGAGAAAACACTTCCAGGATGTCATCAAGGCCACCTCAAAAAAATGTAACATTGATATCAACTCATAGGAGACAGTTGCTCAGGACCACTTCAAATGGAGGAAGAGTCTGCTGCAAGGATTTCAGTACTTTGAAACCTTATGATGACAACAGAAGATGGAAAGGCAGGAGCAGCAGAAGCAGGCATGCTTCTGAATCAAGAATCCAGAGCCATCAACCCCAACCAGAAACATGTGCCCAAATTGTAGTAGAACCTGTTGATCCTGGATTGGCCTTGTCAGCCATCTTCAGACCCACAGACAGGGCATTCATGGATGATAATCATCCTCAACGGCAAGGGATTGCTGCTGCTGCTGAATCTAGTCACGTAAGCCAAATTTTTCAGAAACAATTGTGAATCCTGTGTTCCTTATTTTGTGTGCCCAGCATGAGAACCTGGGATCTGATATGCTGAGTGCTCCCATCTGCAGCTGAAGGTAGCAGGAGCAGCTCATTGAACATATAAAATGCTAAATAAAGCTAAGTAGTATGAAAAATCAGGTCCTAGTTATTTTAAATTGGGTACCCAAAATTTATAACTTTTTTTTTTGTTTAATTTGTCTGCCTAATCTCTTTCTTTATAATATTAGCCTTCATCTCACGAGGTTTTGTGAAAATAAATGGTTTTATGAAGCACTCGGTTACTGTAGTGATGTGTGTCTTAGGAAAAAAACTCATTATCATTAGAAAATTCTGTACTTAAGCAGCCTTGGAATACTGTGCAATAAATAAGGTCAATAGGCAAAGCACTGAATGAGGAGAAAATAGAATATTGTATGGCTGCCTACTAAGTGAATGCCTTACATTTTGTGCTTTCAATGGGGCAGGCGTCCTATGGTGGTGGTGCGGGGAGAATTTATGGTTTTATAATTATAGGGCTATATCATAATTCACATTCTTGTTCCTTCTTAATTCATTCTTATTGTGCATTTCTTAATTTATGAGTAGTTGACTTCACAACTTTTAATGTTCTTTTCACATAGTTTGTGTGCAAGTATTTGTGTGAGATGCATTATATACGCCTTGTAGTGCTAATATAAGCCAACCCTACTTTTTATCTTTAGGTCCCTTGAGTCAAATTACCAAGGTATTGGTTTTTTTCTGAAGTGTACATCATGGTGAATTTGTATGCGATTTACCAAACATGTTTAACTTCTCTTAGAACAAGCATAGTTTTGCAGATATGAAACTACTAGTTTAATTTTGATGAAAGAGCATATTAACATAAGTTCTTTTGGATGTTTTGTTTGCTTGTTTTTGTCCTAAAATCAATGACCATTTAAATGTATAAATCTAATATTTTAATATGTATCTTTAACAGATCTTATTGTTGTGATAGCCTCAATAATTGTTCTGAGTGTAGGCTCAAATGGGCAGGTGTTCGCCACATCTGCAATAAGGTATGTTCTTCTAGTGATGGTTGCACTAAACAATTACCAAAGCATGCATTAACGTTTTCATTGCAAATGGGATTTATCAGCCCTTAAGCTGATAAATGAAGACCTCAATACACCATTATGCCTCAATCACAGGTTAGGAACTAGAGAGTGGTGTGAATGAGCTAGCCAAGAGGAAACAACTAAAGAAATATTATGGCCCATACAAAAGATCAAACATCTCTCTTCCTGAGATAAGAGTATTATAGGACATTGCTTTATTTAAGAAGTAATCCAAATAGCACTTAACTCACTTTGTACTTTTTAAAATATATGTAATTGCTGTACTTCAAGTGCAGTTGTAGATTTACTTGGCACAAGTAACACATACTGTACGTGAACCAGAAACATGTTCATTTTTTGTAGTGTTTGTTCAGCTTGCTCAAAGTACTGAAAGCTTGTTCTGGAGGGTAAACTGAGTAAATACTGGAAAGGAATGATAAAGAGTAGAAAGGAATACATTTGCTTGCTACTCATTGTGCCCACACTTGCAAATGGTGCTGCATTTTCTGTAATGTACTAAGAGCCCTCATGAATACTCTGGTCTCTGGGACTTGAGAGAGCTTAGGATCAGGCCCATAACTCTTCTTTGGACATTGTCTACTCTATTTGCAAAATGTCCACTACCTTTGCATATAAGCTTTGACAAAATAATAAAGACAGAGGCCTTGCAGACAAGTATGCCTTCTGTGAGGAAAAAAGGTGCGATTTTTGTGGCCCACCAAAAATAACTGGCAAGTCTGGGATCAGTGAGGGATATGCTCGAACCACAATACTCTCAGCCATTCACCAAAGGTCCTCAATCCTTTGGGAAGATAGAGCATTGTCAAATTCATCACAATAGACTTTTTTTTACTATCAACATTGGTTATCCCTTCTAAGAAAACCTGCATCTTTTCTAAAAGTCTGCATAATTTTGACATCTCAAAACACTTCCCTTCCCTCCAAATCCAAACCAAGATACATTTTAATAATAAACTATAGATTGAGTGAGTGTAATGTTCCAGTTAGCTCTTGGATACCTTGTTGATAACCATCTAAAATATTTACCATAGAAAAAAACAAGGGCTGTCATAATGTTGTCTTAGTGTCCCTTGTTAAAGCCAAATTAGAACATTCAAAAATTGTTTTCAACTCCTTATTCCCTTTGTTCTCCAGGCAACCTCCCTTCTGGGGAGCTACATGGACCCTTTGACATTGGAATATATCATCAGCATGCTTCTGTTTTAGTCCTTATTGTAAATACTGTTTTTGCTAGTATTTCCTAAAGTTACATGGTTGCAGTTAAAGTTCTGAAGTATAATACAGCTGCATAGAATCAGTAATGCAGTAAAGACAAACAAATGCTGACATTCAGCTTCATAGTCTCATAGGACAGAACTTACCAGTTTACTAGATCAAGAAAGATAAGGATCTGTTAAATTTGACTTGGATTGGGGAAAGCTCAGAACAAGTAAATGCCAAGAGAAGAAAAAGGTTTCATAGGTGGTTCTTCTAAACATACTAGTCTTTGGGTATGTGCAAATGCTACACTTGGATTGACCTAACCCTAGTTATATCAGTCTACATGGCAATCTGTACAGATATTCAGGGAGTTAGATTGTGGAAAAATTGGCTGGTCTGATCTAACTAAGCTCAACTGGGGAGGTGAACTAAATTAGATAGGAAATGGGATAGCCCAATCTATCAAATGTCTACATACATTTGGAGCATAGCTCTGACTGTGAAAGCCCAGCTCCTTTCCCTAGTCCCAGGGCTGCACTCTTCCTACCCCACCCACCCTGGCTGGGCTATTTTTTAGCCCCTTGACCCTGCCCACCCTCTCCCACTTGCAGACCTGCTATCCCCACCACCACCTTAATCCTGCCCTCCTCTTCTCTCTCCCCACTTGGATCAGGTTTCCAGCATGGCTCCTGGCACCAACAGATGTGTGCATAAGCAATGCCTGATCTACAGACATGCATTTTAAAGAAATCAGTGTAATCATAGATTGGGTATGGTGAACACCTGCATGAAACCTTTGAGTTTTGATAGGATTATGGACATCACTGCAGAAAAACCTACTGAGGTTCCTGTGAATTAGTGTCACAAGAAAGCATAAGCATAATGCAATAAGAAAAAAGAAGGCAAGTTTTAACTGAATTATACAACACTTCAGACCTATTAGATTGGGAGTTTTGAGAAACCACTAGAAAATACATTATTAGGGGGTAATTTATAGGGGTGTGTGAAGTGGACCCTATTCAACTTGGATTCGGCTTGAATCGGGGACAGTGATTCAATTAATTGATTTGAATCGTTGTCCCTGATTTCGATTTTGAAGATTTGATGTTGATTTGGAGAATCAGCAATTCAGACACAGACTCGGCTTTAAATGTTTTTTTTTCTACATATCTAGAGGTACCAGTGCAGCTTGTGTTCGCTGTGATGCATCTCACAGGAATGTGGGGGGCCCTCCACATGCTTGGCAGCAAATCCAGAAGTGGACCGGAAGTACTTCTGGTTCACTTCCAGGTCTGCTGGGGAGTGCACTGGGGCCCCCTTGCATGCTCTCCTGGCTTGGTGATCAGCCATGGGGGGACCCCAGCTGCCCTCCCAGGCCCGAAAGCCACCAGTTGCCGAGCCAGGGGGCGTGGGAGGGGCCCCCATGCACCCTCCGGCGGAACCAGAAGTGGACCGGAAGTGCTTCCGGTCCACTTCTGGGTCTGCTGCCAAGCGTGCTAGGGAGCTCCCTGCAGTCCTGTGGGACACTCCATGTGCTCCAGCATCGCAGTATTCATGAGCCGTGCTGATACCTAGGGAGATGTAGAAAAAACATTTAAAGCTGTGTCTATGTCCAAATCTCCAGATCTCTCCGAATCTATTCAGAGGGTTCTGATTTGATTTGGAGAGATTAAAGGGTCCTCTGACTTGATTCAGAAATTCAGCCACCAAATTTGGCTGAATCTAATCGGGGACTGAAGCTTCACGCAGCCCTAGTAACTTATACCAGTAGATGGATAAGCTAGATGAGTTAATAATGATCCTTTTCCTTCTCTTGACTGCTTTTAAAGGATAGGACTGGTGTCAATAAAGTTGAGTGAAAAATTGAAAAGGATATGATAAAAAATAGCTATAGAGGAAAAAAATCATTTGCATTAATCATAGAATCATAAAATTAGGGTTGAAAGCGACCCCCTGCTCAAAGTGGGATCATTCCAGCCAGAATGAATGAATAATTTATGAATAATTGACATTATTCATAAATTACTTCAGCAAATTGTTCTTCTGCAGGCCTCTCACAAATTTACAAATATTCTCAATTCAAAAGTACATGCTCTGTCTATATACATAAGTCACATAATAATATCTGCATGGTTTATATAGATAGCCAATATAGGATAAGTGAGAATCGTGACTTTTTATAATAGTTGAACGTTCAGGTTTTTGGTTTCAAAGATAAGGGATTTAAAGTTTTGCTTTCTTCCA